GAAAAATTGATGCTTACATTTGGTAATGTTGGTCGAACAATGGGAGGGACAATCTTTCTACCCCTTTTTTGGAGGGTTTTCAGATCTTTTGAAGTAGTTGCATGTACTTTCTTCTTCGATTTTTTCTTGCTAGAACTTGAATTTGTCAATGGTTATCGAAATAGACAAACCTTTTAGAACTGAAAACCTTTGTTGTTCGGATCTTCTGAATAAAAAAATTAGAGAATAGTTAGATGTTAGATGCATAATGCAAGATAAATCGATTGATACAAAATAAAAGAAAAAAAATGGCAAAAATTACAATGAAGACGATGAGAAACCCTATTTTGAACTCTGAATCCGGTTTAAAAGTGAGAGGATTCTTTTCAAATTCAAAATTATTTGAATTTGATAACTGAAATTGTAATGAGAGAGATTGGGGGGAGAAATTTAGGGAATGGGAAAGATCTAATTTTGCTTCAAACTAATAAAGTATCCGGTTAAGTTGAATTGGGGGAAATAAGGGATTTTGTATTTAGTAAAGAGTAGGGAAATATTGAGAATAGGTAAAGAAGTGTTGTGTATTTAAGTAATTTGTCCTTTTTTTTATGAGTTAAAGTTGGTTAAAAAAAAGTGTTTTTTTGAGTCATTTGGAGTTTCAGGACTCGGATCGGATTTCCGTCAATTCCGGCAGTTTTAGAATGTCGAAACGGGTCTGTGTGAAGTTACGGAGTTGAATTTGGAGTTGAAACGAAGAATTGAGGTCCTAAGTTGCTAAAGTTGTGAAATTTTGATAAAGAGTTGACTTTGGTCAACATATGAGGTTCCGAGGCTCAAATTGAAATTCCGAGAGTACCGTTGGTTTCAGGAGGCGATTCTAAGTCTAGAATGAGTCTTGGTTGAATTTTTAGACGCTCCGTTTGAGTTTTGATTTTTTTTGGCGTTAAACTAGTTTCTTGGCATCTTATTGAATTTCGGGTCAAGGAGTCCTCGAATTCAAATTCCGACGGTTCCATTGAGTTCGGAACGTCGAATTTAGTGGGGGTACATATTCAGTTTGTGTGCACGAGATTCCGAACGAATCCCGAGGGTCAAACGGGGACTTAAACTTTGGTGTTATATGTTGTTTCAGCTGCTGTGGTTTTTTAAAGCTGCAACATCAGTTGTTTCTTTCTTTTTTAAAGCCAAAACCAGTAGCCATTTTCCCCTAACTTGAAAAATACCCATTTCTCCATTTTTAGACTTTGAGAGCTCGAAAATAGGTGATTTCAAGTGGGTTTTCGCAAGGAATTCATTGGGTAAGTTATTTCCAACTTATATCTTTGATTTCCATCGATTATTTATGGATTTTAACATCAAAATTTCAGATCTCAACTGTAAAATTTGGGGTTTTTTTGCCTAATCCGAATTTAATAGAAAATTTGAGTTTGTGAACTCATTTCAACTCCTTTTTCGAAACGGTTTTCACTATTGGATTCTAAATTTCTTGGGGAACATTTTTCACTAAAAATTTCCAGATTTCGAGAATATTTTTCGGAACGAGATTTTTTTGACCATTTTACCCTTTTTCTCCAAATTTCACGATATTGGTGTTGTTAGATTCGTATTGATTGTGGGATTCCATTTATGAATAGATTGTGGTGATTTGGAGCGTGCTCGGAAGGGTAAAACTCAAATTTGAGTTACTAGTTGAAGTGTTTTGAGGCAAGTGACTTCTAAACTTTGTTAAACTCTTAGACTACACATGACTACTTTCCTAATTGTGTTGGGGAGTAATGGGGATTGAGGATGGGTTTTATTTGTTGATTGAAATTGTTGTAATTGAAAGATGGGGAATAAAACGAGCTAAATGTGTTATATGTGACTTGAATTTGTTGAATAAGTCATGTGATAACTGATATTGAGGGGATAGGAGAGCATGAGTAGGCTATGATTGATACAGACATTGATGTTGAGACAGATGATGTGTAATACTATGATGTGATCGTGATATGATTGTGATTGATGACATGTGCATATTCATTATTCATCCCATGTGTGAACTATCTGTTGCATGAGTTCTGAGACACTGATATGAGGATGGATGGATATGAGACACAGTTGAGACTAGCTCCGGCTAGAGATATATGAGATGGACTAGCTCCGGCTAGCGATTTGGATGCCGATGGGATCTGGTTCCGGCGGTGATACATGGTCCATGTGTGGCCCCCATGGGTTCTGATTTGAGTATTCAGCGCGGTCTGATTACGTCAACAGATGTGTATCTTAGGACAGACATGCATCACGACTACATGACATCATTATTGCATTTGCATCGCATTTGACTTCATCTTTGTCTGTGGTGTGTGGATTTTACCTACTTGCTCCTCTTCATGTGATATATGATCTATTTGCTCTTATATGAGGATATGAGGTTGATGTTGAGATACTGTTGGATATATCTGTTGATTATGAATTGTGTAGTATAGGTTGTTGGTTCGCTGTTAGAATGAAGTTTCGGTGGTTCGGTTGGGATTGAAAGGAGTTGTTTGTAGCTGCTAGTTTAGCTTAGTTTTGTGTTACTTGCGAGTACCTGTTGCTTTTGGTACTCACCCTTGCTTCTACACAGTTGTGTAGGTTGACAGCTCTATCAGATCCGGCTTATTACTCATCTTCAGATTAGAGCTTCCAGACTTACTTGAGAGGTAGCGGTTCATTCCAGACGTGCCCTCAAGTTATCTATATTTACTGTTCTGTTCTACTCTAGAACTTTACTATGAAACTTGTATATTTTATTCAGATTCTGTATTAGAGGTTTGTACATGTGACAACCAATTCTGGGGTTATGTTGAGTTTATTTAAAGACTTCCGCTTATCTTTCTATCTTATTCTTGTTTATAAATTCTGTATCGTCGGGTTTTGGGTGTTAGGCTGACGTGTCCGGTGGGGTTTGGGCACTTGCCATCACATCTGGTTTTGGGGTGTGACATTCTACCTATTTTTCAATAACAATATTCCCTACTTTTTATTTTTGTTGCATATCATTTATTAGGTCATGTCGTTTTAATGGTATGTGAAACTTGCTATGTTAGTGGAAAAAATATATTAATGTTATTCGATCAACCTTGATATATGTGTAGTATTTGGGGATATATTGAATCACATTTCAATTATATTCTACTTCTTATCACATTATAAAATTTAGTTTTATTTAGTATATATAATGAGTATTTTCAAGTTTAAATTCATTGTGTATACATTGAGTTGTTTGTTATTTATTTAATATTGAAGAATAGTACAAAGAAAAAGATACATTTGTTAGTTACACTGCAGATTTTACAATGAAAATTCAATATGTATGATTCTTATGTCTAAAAGACACCTAATAAACTATGAAGTCTTATGTGTAAATATTCATTTGTAATTTCTAGTTTAATGATGGGTTAAATAAAAAATACAAAATTTATGCTATTATAAGTATAGGGTTTTGGTCCCCGAATCAGACAGAGTTTTGGTGTTTTTCTTGTCATCTAACCAGATGTGCTTTGCACATGTATTCCATGTTTAATTGTTTAGATGTCATATGAACATGTGAAGAGAACAACTACATTTTATCTTTTAGAACCATTTTTTGTTTATTAGTTTTTATTTTGTAAGTTATAACATAACATATGATGTTCATGTTGTTGGCTCTCATATTTGACTTCTCGATTGACTGTGTACATAAATCAAAGATAGTTATCTGACTGTCCGTAGTTAATTGAGAAAGGTTTCCTTTTTTTACTGGAAAAATAAAAAATTAAAATTAAAGAATATGTTCTATATGTGAAATCATATATATAATCACATGTTTATCTTACACCCAACAAAGATATAGTTCATATACTTGTAAACGATTTTTAATTTACTCAACCAAGCATGATTCATCAAAGGAAAAATAACAACACCGTATTATCACATATATAGGGGCGATATAATAATATGAAAAATTATTGGTCAAAAGTTAATATAAGAAAAGTTGAAAGATAGAAATAATTAATGTAATAACTATGAAATTTATAATATCATAACTAAGAATGTAAAAGAGTGGAGAAAATAGACAAATGCCTCCCTAACCTATTATCGAATTCTCAACTACACACTTATACTTTGCGGGGGTCCTATTACCCCCCATGAACTTTTTAAAAACAAAATATATACCACCCTAAAACTAGACAACCACATTCTCAACATGTAGTGATGCACGCTCGCTCCAGCTGTTTTTTTGTTTATATTATTTTTTTCTCTTTATCCCTTTTTTCATTAATTACAAAAATATGTACTCTTTTTATTCCTCCTTCTTCTTCTTTTCTCTTTTGTTTTCATTCCCTTCTTCCAAATCACTCACCCACGAAAAAAAATCAAAGCTATTTTTTTAATCATTTTTTCATCACTTTATAGCATCCTTCAGGCACCTTGACAAGCTTGATTACTCATCTCTTTTCTTTTTTGAATTTTTTTATTATGTTATTTCTTTGTCTCCATGACATCAAATTTGTAATATTTTATTTACAGATTGTCGATGGTTAAATTCTTGGTCACCAAACAACAATAGGGATTGAAGATAAGATCTGATGGTTGATGTATGTTACTGACCCAAAATCGGTGAGAAGGTAGATTAATGGTGTTGATATTTTGAACTAACTTGAGATTGATAAAAATAAAAAAAAGTTGGATGATGATCCACATCATATACCCAAAACTCATGTTTAGTTTGGTTTATGAAATTCATGATCGAAAAAATCTATTTTATAGTCATAATTGTTTTAATTAACTGGAATTCTCCAATAATTAAAAAAAATTCAATAATGGAATGAATTTTTATGATGGAAGGTGTTTAATAATTCTATTTTTTTTTGGTTTTGTTTCTCCTATCTTTCTTCTTCTTCTACTTTTTTTTCGGTCTTTACTCTGTGATTTTTTTTTTTGGAATAGTGAGATAATTAAGGAAAATTAGATTTTTTGACAATATAAGTAATAATTTTAAGATTATTTGATGATTTTAATGATGATTGGCAGCGTTAGTTGTAGAACCTAGTGAAGCAAATTGTTAAAAAAATATTAGAAAATGGATAAAAAAATGTGGTTAGTGCAGTGATGGTGGTTCAAGGTGGAGGAAATGGTGGTTTTGGGTGAATGTTGAGTAATGAGAAAGAGAGGGAAAAAAAGAAAAAGAAACAAAAACCTTAAAGAGAAAAGTAAAAAAAAACATATATTTAACAAAAAGTTAAAATAAAAACATTATTATAATTATTATTTACCAATTCTTTTGACTTCAACATGCCTCCAAGAGACTGAGGACACTCTATGTGCCATGCCAGCATCTAAGCGTGTAATTATTCCATTTTAAAATAATCGAGGGGGGTGATAGGACTCCCGTGAGGCATAATTGTGTAGTTGGAAATTCGATAATATGTTAAGGGGCATTTGACTATTTAAGAACGTTTGCAATAATTAGTAATACCTAAGAAAATTTATAATGTTATAACTAAAGAATTAATGTGCAATAACTGAATTTCTAATAAATTTTATACTGGCATATATTCACATATGATTCATATATATTCACATTTGTTGTGAGTTTTTTTCTAAAAAAAAGAACTCGAAACATTTTAAAATAATATATTTTAAAGTTAGAAGATCTTGTTAACTTGATAATACATTTGTGACATATATAATACTTTAACTTAAATACAAATACCTACCCATATATATATATTTGCATTACTGAAAAATATTTATCTAAAAAAAGCTAGCTATTAAATGAAAAATAAAAATTAAACTAATACAACATCAACTGACGTTATTACAAGTCATATGAACTTTTCATTGTCTAAAATACTGAAATATTAAAAAATAGTAAATAAGTAAAACAAAAAAGGTAATGTTTATATAGTAATAACTATTTTAAAGCAAACTTCCTGACAATCTAAATCACATAAGTAGCATTGATAAATAAAATCATTCTTATGTCAAATCGTGACAATTCTCTAAATTTCAGAAAAAAATATTCAGAAGTATATATGTACATCACAAGAGAAATTGTTAACAAAAATAAATGGATTTAGACTACATCACGTTAACTTCATGTATTAGAACATTACATACTGATGTATATATTAAGCAAACAAATAATTATTATATCATCAAAATTATTTTCCGCAATTACTCAAGGTTATGAAATATACCCTTCCATAACCCTCTTAGGATAGAACGACTTACTTCATCAGAATAGTGGTACCTCATATTCCGCTAAACTTTGAACTCATTAATGACAATAAATCACACAAAAAGAAATTAAAATGCAAGAAGAAGAAGAGTAGAAAATTAAACTAAATTGTTGAAAAATGAGAGGAAGCCTTTCTATTTATAGTCAACAAAGGGTAGTATGAACAAATGTTTTCTGTGTCTTATCTGAAAAGTCATGACATTTCCAAGAAGTCACAACCCTTTGGAAAAGCCATAACTTATTGAAAAAGTCACAACTCTTTGGAAAAGCCACAACTCATCAAAAAATTACAATCCTTTTAAAAAAGTCACAACTTGTTACGGCCCAAAAATGGACGTGATGGCACTTGTCTTATTCCACCAAGACAAGTCAGCCTAAAACTCAACCATTACGATAAAATGCGAAAATAAAATATAAG